ATTGGAAATAGGATTTATGAAATCCTTAATTGAATATGATTATGATACTTGACTTGGAGGCTAATAAAGTAAGTTTAGGTTTCCTTTATGGATGGAAACCCTAACTTTTAGCCTATATATATATATATAACACCGGTCCCTATAAGCCCTAGAACACACAACATAATGCTTCTCATAGAGAAGTTGTATTCGGCTAGGAGTTTATAGAAGATCTTGGTGTTGCCGTGCCCTGCTTGTTTTCGTGTTTGACTTTCATGGCCGCCATTGGAATCAGGTCAGTCACTCATTCTTTTGTGTTTTAATTGTATAACCTTATAAGGCTAACAGAGACACCATGGCTGATTGTTTTAGTGCATTCCCCATGGTACAATAGCCTTACAACTATCATATAAAACAGGACATTCTGTTCAACAGATGGATCCCTTCTATCGAACAGTTTTGTTTTTCAATAAAAGCCAACTGTATTTAATTTCTTCTCTACAAGTAAAGCATGTGTAATTCAGGAGCGTGTATCAAATATTGCAAACAACATTGAAAATGGTAAGTGCTCTCCGGTGAAAGATCAATCAGCACCTGTCTATATTACAATTGGTGATGGAGGAAACATTGACGGCTTAGCAACCAAGTAGGCATGCATTATAATCTCTTTAAAATTCAATTAATGGCTTCCTTCCTACTTGGCTAGCATACAATTGCATATTTAATCTATGAAATTTTTTCTATTATTGTACAGTATGAGAGAGCCACAGCCAGATTACTCAGCTTATAGAGAGGCCAGTTTTGGTCATGCCATATTCGACATCAAGAACCGAACCCATGCCTACTATAGCTGGCACAGGAACGATGATGGAGCTGCAGTAAAAGCAGACTCTATGTGGTTTTTCAACAGATACCATCATCCCGTTGATGATTCCACAAGTCCCCAATGTTGATCGTAGGAACTTAAAAACCTTTTTTATTAGCTCTTATTCTCTAGAATAGTTCCTAGCTAGATGTATATCTTAATCAAGATTAGAAATTTTCTTCTCCCTTATATTTTTCTTTCCATGCACTTGATTTGGATAGAATCTATTGATCTTCTATAGGCTTACGGTTAGTTCACATAGATGTTTGTGTTATTTTTCTCTTCGGATCTCTTTCTACCATTGAACTTGCTCACCTCACCGGTGTCAAATTCGACCGTATGTTTTCAGGTTTATGCAAGTAATATTTTATTTTAAACTAATTAATTAATCTAAACTATGAGGTAAAAGATTTGCTCACCTCACCATGCATAAAGGAGAACATCCGCTCCAATTAACCTTATGTTTAGTTACAGAAACTAACATTACTAGATAATAAATAAACTTGATTCTAATAAACTTTTGCACAAAATAAGCGTAGACGACCTTTTTCTTAGAATGATGTATCTATACTCATGGAAAAAAACTTATGTGGGGCTTAACTTGCCACTGGACTTCGCTTACAATCCACTCAAAACTCACCATGTGGCTAATTTTAAATATAATCTTTTATATTTAAAATTTTCATAATTATTTTTTCTTCTAATAATCTCTACTAATTAATGAAACACTCTTTGTCAACCAAAAGAGGGTGAAAAGACAAATTAGTCTTCTATCACACAAAAAAATGATGGGCAATAATGTAATTTCATAAGTCCAAATTTTACTGTTTTTTATTGAAGCCTCACCTACATGTGATCTTAAAATACCTTCAATATTATAAAAAATAAAAAATAAAAAACCTCCCACTCCCCCCACGTTCTTTCTCTCCCTCTCTCCTTCTCGTTTTCTAATAAAATGTGTTCATAGACACAAAGTGTGTAGGCAAGTGTTCTTCCTCCCTTTTTTCTTCTTTCCCCCTATTTTTTTCTCTTCCCAAATTCCCCTCCACTTTGTTTTGCCGTAGGTCTTCACTACTCTCTCCCACTTCTTTCTCTTCCAGTTTTGTTTCTTGCTTTCCTTAAAAAAATTAAAAAATTTGCACCCACTCCAATTTTATCATGGAAAGCAACTAAGAATATTTGGTAGAGATGTACTTTCTTGAAAATAGAAAGCTACTATGATCAAAACAAAGTGAAAGATAACAAATAGGTTATGAAAAAATTAACTCGATAATTTGGAGTGTGCACTTTTGTATTTATAGAAAGGAGTAGGGGGAGGGAAAGCAAAGAAATTTTGTGAAGAAAAAAGTGCAGAATTTCATAAAAAGCAAGAATCACAACTGGGGGAGAGAGAAGGACAAAAAACAAAGTAGAGGGAAATTTGAGAAGAAACAAAAAGGGAGAAAGAAGAATAAAAAGGGAAAGAAGAATAAAAAAAGGAAACATTAGATTGATATATATAATTTATTAATTAGTAAAAATAATTATGAGAATTTTAAATATACAAAAATGATAAAAGATTATATTTAAGACTTGCTATGTGGTAAGTTTTGAGTGAATTGTAGAACCAATTAGCGAAGTCCAGTGCCAAGTCAAGCCCCATACAAGTTTTTCTCGTACACATGATATGAGTACGGAGTTTAATTTTCAACTTTGGTATGAGATCTATAGATTACTTTGACATTTAACTGGCTCCAATTTATTCGTTAAATTTCAATTCCTTATTAAGTTCTTCGGTGCACATCCAAATCAACCGTTATTCGTTAAATTCCTAATCAATTCGTTTAGATGTGCTTTTAAAATGATTGAAAACGCTTTTGGTGAATATGTTTTTGGAACCAATCCTTAGTAAAAATGCAAGTAAATTTTGAAAAAAACACTTAAAGTGCTTCCTGGAAGAAACACATAATTAGTACTTCTTGCAGAAAGCACTTTAAGTGCTTTTGGAACCAAAAAATATTTTCTCTAAAAACGCTTTCAGTCATTTAAAAACACAACAAAACGAGTCATATTGTGTACATGACTATAAGTCTAGATTCTTTCCATACTTCAACACTCATTTGTCAATCCAAACAATGTAATTTTATGTTTGTTTGTGGTTGCTCTCTCTTTTAATCTGCAAACTGCAAACACACTTTTGATTATTTTTTTCTCACTCCGGTGTCTCCCAAGTCAACCTCACTCCGGAGAAATATTTCCTCAAAAATTGCTTTTCAGACGCGATCCAAATGCATATATACGATTCCTAAATACACATATACAAATCCAACTACAAACTACAAACAAATTAGTTATACGAATCCAAAATACGGGGACTACTTAAACTTTGCTTTTTTTTTTTTTTTTTTTTTTTTTTTTTTTTTTTTGAGAACCTCGGCGGTACGAGGGAAATTTATTGATAAGAAAAAAGAAGATACACCTAGACAGGGGGGGACATAAACCTAACCCCTCATAGAACAAGAGAAAAGAAATACAAAAAAGGGGGGGACATGCACCTTACCCCTTTTGAGAAAGGAAATACAAAAGAGGGGGGGACATAGACCGTACCCCTCTTGGAAAAGAAAGTACAAGGAAAAGACTGGGCGGACATAAGCCCAAACCCCTCTATAAAATACAAAAGAGGGGGGGACATAGACCGTACCCCTCTTAGAAAAGAAAAATACAAGGAAAAGACTGGGCGGACATAAGCCCAAACCCCTCTATAAACCTAAAAGGTAAAACCTGCAAGGCAAGCTGCAAAACAAAAGGGAATCCGAAAATGTTAGGAAAAGAAAGGAGAACACACATCAAGAAGAGGAGACAAACCTGTAGGTTGGCATGCCCAAGAAATCTGAGTGCAGAGGAGGAAGGATCTCTATAGGGGGGGTGGAATGCCAAACAAGAGAAGATGATAGAAGCCCTAAATTGGCTAATTTGTCAGCAACAACATTCCCTTCTCGAAAAATATGAGAGCAACGAAAGACCATGTTCTGCAAATGGAGAGTACAATTGTTCCAGCGTGTCTGGAGAGACCAAGGGGGAGAGAAAGATCCAGAAGCAAAACATGATATTACACTAGAAGAGTCGCTTTCAAGCCATAAATTTTTCCAGCCCCGCGCGTGGGCCAATTCGATAGCAAGGATGACAGCATGGAGCTCCGCATAGAAAGAAGTACGATGGCCCAAGCTTAGGGAGAAACCACCAAGAAAATAACCTGTAGAGTCACGAAAAACCCCGCCACAGGCCGCAGGACCCGGATTACCTTTAGCAAGGCCATCAGTATTCACTTTAACCCAAGAAAAAGGAGGGGGAGCCAAAGAACAGGGACAATAGAAGGAGCTTTACAGGAGTTAGGCGATATTCCAAGAGAAACTAAAAGTTGCCTATCCAAAATGCCTCGTACATGGCCAGGGGTGAGAGCTCCAACCTGCCTAATCCAGGCCGAGGTGGAGCGGCAGAGACGAGAGAGGGAGGGAGGTTTGCCTTCAAACTTCATTTTATTACGCATCTTCCAAATAGCCATTAGTAAGAAAAACCCTGAAGCTATCCAGACATTGCAAAGATGTGGAGAAAACTGCTTTGACAGAAAAACAAGCCATAGATCAGAGATGGAGCCCGTAGGTGGTATAGTAGTGCCAAATTGGGTAGCTAGCCAACGCCAAGCACATTGTGCAAATTCACAGCTAGAAAATAAGTGGTCAATAGATTCAGAATTCTTGTGACATAGTTGGCATATTGGAGCCAGCGGGATGCCTCGGCGCTGAAGTTGATCCTCCGTTGGGAGCTTGTGAAGAGAATCTTCCAAACTAAAATAGAGTAACGAGGTGGGATGAAAGGACGCCAGATAATGGAAGCCCAACTCTTAACAGGAAATCGATGACGAACAATTTCATAGCCATCGGAGAACGAAAAAACACCAGAAGTAGAGACTTCCCAAATTAAAACGTCCTTATCCTCATCAATTGGAAGAGGCATTTCTAAAATCTCTTTTAGTTAGGTCTGGGAAAGTAGAAGAAAAAAAATAGAAGGAATAACCCATTTTCCCATACGAATAATATTTGAGACCTTAGTACGAGATAAAGAAGGAGCAATCTCTGTTGCACCAACGACGTCCACAATAGGCTTATCCAGCCATTTATCAACCCAAAGGGAAGTAGTAGAACCATTTTCCAATCACCCAACGACAATTCTGAAACAAGATATGAAGAATGGATTTAATACCAGGCCATATAGAAGATCGCTTATAACTACAAGAATATAGGCGACCATGAAGCTTGAAACGTTCCCGAAGATAAATACTCCAAGGGGAATCAGTAGTAATAATAAGCCATCCAAGCTTTAAGAGAGCAGTAGTGTTAAGAGAGCCAAGATCACGCAACCCCAAACCACCTTCATTCTTTGGAGCACATATCTGACGCCAAGAAACGGTAACAGACTTCTTGGAGGTTACGTCACCAGACCATATAAAATTGCGAGCACATCTTGAAAGAGGCCTTAGCAAGGAAGAAGGCCACTTATAAACAGAGAAGCTATGCAAGAGCATACTTTGAAAAACTGATTGAGTGAGTTGAACTCTTCCTGCCATAGATAAAAGCTTCCCCTTCCAACCAGTTAACTTAGCTTTAGCTTTATCTGCCAAGGCTTGAAGATAACTCCTTTTAGGCTTGCCACAGAAGATTGGAACTCCTAAGTAGACAAAAGGTGCTTTGCCTTCTTTGAAACCCAAGTAACTCTCAACCACAGCTTTGCGATGCCTTGAGGTAGAGCCCAAGTAGAAAGTACTTTTTGCCTTATTGATAAATTGACCAGAGGCTCTACAATATCTATCGAAGAAACCTTGCAAATTACGCAGAGTGACACCATCACTTCTACAGAAAATGAATAAGTCATCTGCATAGAGAACGTGAGAAGGAGAGATACAACCTTTTGGAGCAAAAGTTGGCTTAGTAAGCCCATCAAGTTGAAGACGACTCAGGCCCCTTGATAACGCCTCCTCAGCTAGACAGAAAAGTAACGGAGAGAGAGGATCCCCTTGGCGCACTCCTCGGGAACAAGAGAAAAAACCATGCGGGGAACCATTGATTAGGATGGACAATTTAGCAGATCTTAAGATGGTAGAAACCCAGTCTATAAAACAAGTGGAGAACCCAAAGTTAGTAAGCACCCGCAAAAGAAATGACCAATCTAGAGTATCAAAAGCCTTAGCTATATCAATTTTGACTCCCATATTGCCACCACGAGTTTTTTTGTCAAGCACATTGAAACATTCTGAAACAAGGCCAATACAATCTGTGATACGACGGCCAGGTATAAAAGCAGCTTGATGCGGGGAAATAATGCGTTGAACAACATGAGAAAGACGAACTGCCAAAATTTTGGGAATAATCTTAAAGAGAAAGTTTGCCAAAGCAATAGGTCTAAAATGAGTCATGGAAATAGCGTCTTCCACCTTCGGAATCAAAACTAAGAAATTACTATTGGCATTGGGGTATAACCAATTTGATTGAAAGAATTGCTTCACAAATTGAATAACGTCAAAGCTGACAATATCCCAACAATGGTGATAGAAAAAACCTGGAAAACCATCTGGCCCTGGCGCACTGGAAGCACTTAAGGAGAAAACTGCCTCCTTAATTTCCTCATCAGTAGGTAAGGCAGATAAGAGATCATTTTCAGAGTCTGTGACCATCGGCTGGATGACTTCACAAACCACATCAATACCTGAAGGGGTGAAAGAAGAGCCGAACAAAGTCTGATAGAAATTAACAATATGGTTCTCAATTGCCAGCGGGTCAGTAAGAAGATTGTTTCCATCAAGAATACAACTGATATGAGAGCTGGATGATTTAATACGAGCATAGGCATGAAAGAAAGAAGAATTTCTATCCCCTTTAGTTAACCACTTAACACGAGCTCTATCTTTCCAAAAAGCCTCCTGCATTTGGAGAGACTCCATTACTGTAGTCTTGGCGACAATCTCCTCCTCGAAAAGATCATTATTTTATACCCTCAGTTGAAATTCTTTGTTGAATCATAGAAAGATTATGCCGAGCATTAGCCACTCTATTATGGACGTCACCAAAGACCGAAAAATTCCATTGGCGCAAGCAGGTTTTTAGAGCTTTCAATTTTTGCAGAATGATAAAATAGGACAACCATAGACAACTGTATTTCTCCAGCAATGAGTTACAGTTTCTCGAAAAGATGGATGTTGAACCCACATTGATTGAAAACGGAAAGGACGATGACCATTGCTCAAAACTCTAGAACCAGAAGATAAGGGGGTTGTGATCTGAGACTACCTTTGGCAATGCTATGCAGTTAGAGTGGGGCCAAGAATCAAACCAACTAATATCACACAAGGAGCGATCTAACCTTCTTTCAGTGCGACCACGTGACCTCCAGCCATTAGACCATGTAAAGGCTGCCCCAGATGTGTTCAAGTGGGTAAAGTTACAAGTGTCAGACATATTCCTAAACTGAGCGCATGAAGCTTGGGACGGTCTGCCTCCTCCCATCTGCTCGTGGGCGCCCAGGATAGCATTGAAATCACCAATAGCCATCCATGGAACATGTGTTTGTGGGCGCAGAGAGATAAAATCAGCCCACAAGTCTCTTCTTTTGATAGGTGAAGTGCTTGCATAAACAAATGTGAACTGGCTCGGGATATGGTCAAAAGTACAGCGAACCGTAACCTGTTGATCCGAGATAGAGATAACTAAAGGGTCTGCACAAGCTGAAGATGTTAGTAACCAAAGGTTGGGAGCAAGAGTTCCTCTAGAATTAAAAGTAAGAGCAGATAGATTTAAAGAATCCCAATAAGCAGCTGAAATAGAATTAAAAGTCACCATAGGCTCTGCAATGCAAACCAAATCCGGGTGATGCAACCGACAGATGTTAGAGAGCTCCGTCCGAGAGTCATCGTTACCAATGCCACGGATATTCCAGAAGAGAACCTTCATTTATAACGAGCTGGTATTCCTCGGACCCTACTTGGATATGGTTTATCAGAGGGTTGATTAAGATTGGCAAGCTGCTTTTGTTTTTTCCGTTGACTATTAGATAACACAGGAGTAAAACCATCCATATCACAGCCTTCAATGTGATTGACAATATCGAAGACATCTTTAGCTAATGTCGCAACATGTTCAAAACCAGGGGGAATGCTATGGTTGTCATGAGGATCCTGCATGCCAAAATTATTTGGGACATCTGTGTTGCCCAACTGCTGACTATTATGAGCTACCGTCTCGACCTGCTCAAAGCCAGGAGGAGAGCTAGAGTCGTCACAGAGATCATGTGGGCCAAGATTGTTTGGGACAATGGTGTTGCCCAAATGCTGACCATAAGAAAGACCATTCAGAGGATGTGATCCATCTGGAGACAGCGATCCGGTCATAGAATTGCTAATATGCGAAATCCCAGGGGATTGAATACTAATATGCGTATCAGCGGTGTCAGTCTCTGGTATGACATTACCAGAAACAGCTGGCGTTATTCCAAGAGGAGACTGAAGAATGGGCTCAGCATTACCATCATCCGCTGCCTTAATACCTGCAGGCAACAATTGATCAACCTGTTGAAGAGGTTCAGGTTCAGAAGCATGTGACCCACAAAAGACATTAACCGGTATTGTTGTATCTTTTATGGGACGATATTCCATGTGCAGTTGGCTGCGAGAGTGATCTCCGGTTTTGTTGTCCCCCATGTTACCACCCTTTCGCGTCCGGCTACGAGAACGACCTCTCGACATCTGTTTAAGTTGTCTGCAGCTATTAGCCAAGTGCCCTATCAAACCACAGTGACTACATTTGGGCGGTAAATTTTCATAAACCACCTCAACCGGGAAGCCATGACTTTCTCTTTCAACCATAAGAGATGTAGGTAAATCATCTGCAAGATTGACATCAACTAATATGCGTGCATAATAACCATATTGCCTTTCCCTTGTAGCTGAATCTAGTTGCAAGGGAGTGCCGACCCCTCTCGCAATTTCCATCAAGTGTCTAGGATGCCAATATTCCTGACTCAAACCAAAAATTTTGATCCATACCTGAGCATGAGTTTGAGGGAGAACATCACCTGGTTTAAAATCTGGCGTCCATTTTGATAACCTGAATAAACCAGTAGCAAGAGTACACGTACCGCCACCCCATGCCCGTCGTATATCATCTTCCTTATTGAAATGGATATCAAAATAACCTTTACCTATAGGAACCAGGTTCCATGGTGCAGTAGGGCGCCATGCATCTTCTAAGCAAGATTTTAGAGCACCGGTCTTCATTGGCGTAGAACCATTTTTTAGGAGCAAACGCCCAAGGAGGTTATTTTGAAACAACTTCAACTGTTCTTGGTATAGATCCTCGCTAATTTTGACATATGTTTTGTCCCCACGCACAACCGGAGTTGGAAGTTGGCTGAGATGGACGTCTTCAATTGGGATGGAAACGACAGAAGCAAAAGTCCTTGCCTTCAGAGTTGGTTGAACGGGGGGCATATTAGTTGTCGGCATAACCGTCTCTGCAAGAAAACCCCATGGACAGACGATATTTGTGCCCATGATAATTCAGTTTAGAGTTGTCAACACCATAAAGTAAGGTTGAACGCCGAATATCCTTGGGCGGTTGAACGCAGAATCACCTTGGGCACCCTGAAAAAAAAAAAAAAAAAAAAAAAAAAAAAAAAAAACGCAGATTCTCTGGAGCAATTCGTCGAGCAGGTACAAGGCACCACAGCCAAGCAACCAGAGGCAGATCAAGCTTCCGGCAGGAGGAGGTGCTAGTACCGAAAAGAGCTTTCAGATTGACTGGGGCAATTCGTCGAACAGGTACAAGGCATCCTTTAGCAGAGAAACAATCTTGGAAATTTGGAACAAGGGATGGTTGCTGTCGATGGTTCAAGAGTTGGTGATCGTCGGTTGCGGGGGCAGGTTCAGAATTGCAACGATGATGATGCGGATTCTTTTCAACGTTTCTCCATTTTTTGCTGCTATGCACGAGGTCTCAAACTCGCATACTTTGCCACTCACCGGCAAAATCCTTGAAAGCCAGGCTTTTTGCTTTTAGTAAAATAGCTTGCTTTGTTTTGAAAAATGCAATTCGTTTTTTCGGGAATGGTGGGATTCCAGTGACGATCCCAGATACGAGAAGGGTTGCTGATTCTGCATATCACATATATAATTGGACAAAATATTAAAGGGAGTCAACAAACTTTTTGTGCAAGATTATAATTGAGAGTTTTCCTTCAAGGTCCACTAAAAAGATGGCGTTTGAGAAAATTAAATCAATCAGAGTGCAGGTGGAGGAGTTAGGGGCGGATCCCGCTCAGGTGGGAATTGATGGTGCATCTGGTTTCTTGCTGGAGGAGGGGGGGGACTCGGATTCGTTTTGCGGCCTAATTTTCTGTGCTTCAAATCTGTAGCCAAAAACACATGATATAGCCCCCAATCTGTAGCCAAAAAACGTTGATATTCTTTTTTATGAAAAGCTACGATATTGATAAGATGTCGATAAAAGGATACACCATAAAAAAAAGTGAACTTTTGAAAGAAAAAAAACTCTTTGTCGGGACTTTCAAACCGCAATCAAAGAATAAAGAGGCCACCATTACAGAATGAAAGAGAAAAAGATTCAATCACTCAATAGAACTATCCTCAATCAAGATGTCAAACAAAATTAGGAATTAAAAACAACACCATGTACGGTACAAACCTGCAGGAACTTGATGACATTGATTAACGGCCAACATGGATGCAATGAATATGAGTATAGTGAAAAAGCGGAGAAAGGAAGATAGACCAGTCATCTTATATAAACTTTTTCTTTTAATTGTGGAGTCTGTGATCTTAATTCTCTGATCGTTACGATCAATATATTTATATCTACCTATTATAAATTTAAAATGATGTTAATTAATTTGGATTAGGTCGAGTCAATGCATAATTTAACGGGTTCGAACTCACACCATCATGCAATGGTTCAATTCCTTTACACCACTATAATAAAGGACCACTTGCACATGGAGGGTTTCTTGTTTTCAATTAACTAGTCGATTTTCCAAAATATAAAATAGATATAAAATAGATTTTTCATCTCAAATTTACATTAGTCCATTGAAAATGCTCTCATAAGTTGACTTTCTTTAATGGAGGCACTTCCGTTGTAAAATTAGACTTTGTTTAATAAGATGAAACATACCGCTTAACTTTTCTCTTTTTGTATTTGTCTTGCAGCTAGAATCAGTCAAAAGACCATTTTTTGTATTCACATCTTATCATTTCTCAGAAAATTAAGTTTGTCCGCTTGCTTGCTTGGTGCTAACGTCTAGAGTGTAGACCTGGTTACGTTTAATTTATTTATTTCAACATTTTTTTTATATATATGTTGCAGGGAGTTCTCCATACTAACTTCAGAAATAGTTATGTTTTTTCAAATTAATAAATCAAAGAGCAAAATCAGAAAATTCTGAAGAAATGGAAATTGTTATTAGCACTTCAAAAATCTCATTTGACATTCCAAACTTTATATAATGAGAAAGAAAAATACACTTGTGAATAGTATAGAATGTGATTTTTGAAGTGCTAATAACAATTCTCGAAGAAATAATTCTAGTGTTGGGTCTTCATAAGTTGTAAGCCCAATCATGACATTAATGTCATCATAAAAGGCTTGAATTGAAGGTTGTTCACGTCAGAAATTTGACAAAACAATTTACAAGTTACCACAGTGGTAAAAGAATTGTGTCTTAGCATCTCGGTGTGGATTCAAACCCCGTGACTCCTAATCTAATATCTAATTTAACGAAAGTATTAGGTTCCATTTCTATTTATATGATGTCTTTTTATGATAAAATACCCATCTCTTGAGCTATAATTAATTAAATTGAAGACAATATTAGTGTTGGATAATTTGGCCCATCTCTCCAACTCTTTGACAAAGCTAGTCGAAAAGAAGAAAGAGAAGGGATGTAGTTGTGAACACGGAAAATTCCTGAAACGAAAGAGACAAGAACAACGTGCACAAACAAATATTATGTATTTGATGATTTTGGGTTACAATCTCTCTCTATTTTGATCCTCTGATTCGATCTCCGTAAGGTGTGTATTTGTGGATGTGCGATTGATCCAAAGGGCCGTTGGGCTTGATCTAAGGATGAACGTTCTTCAAGGGCCGTGGACTTGATCTTGAAGGTGGATTTGAGCGGATCTTCAAAGGGGCTTTTGGGCTTGATCTTTGAAGAATAGTGATGAACGGATCTCCAAGGGCTTTTGGGCTTGATCTTGAAGAACGATTGGACGGATCTTCAAGGGCTTTTGGGCTTGATCTTGAAGAACGATTGGATGTGTGGATTTGTCGACGTTGTTGATCCAAAGGGCCGTTGGGGCTTGATCTTGGATGAACGGATGATGAACGATGGTGCTTTCTTCAAGGGCCGTCGGGGCTTGATCTTGAATTGGTGGATGGTTGATCCAAGGGCCGTCGGGGCTTGATCTTGGAAGAACGATGAACGAAGAACACTTTCTTCAAGGGCCGTCGGGGCTTGATCTTGAATTGGTGGATGATTGTTGATCCAAAGGGCCGTTGAGGCTTGATCTTGGAAGAACGATGAACGAAGAACGAAGAAGGCTTTCTTGATTCTTCGGGAACCTAGATGCTTGAGAGCTTCGGGGTTTCAGAGCTTCAGAGCTTCAAGGTGTAATATGAAAAATGGTTTTCTTAAAATGAATGAAATAGGCTTGTATTTATAGAATTTTCCAAGGCCTAATTTTGAATATAATATCCCAGATGAAATAAGTCGTTTCTGCCAGGTGTTGACACGTGTCCTATTTGATGACTTTTCCAACTCATTTCAATTTTCGTTGAGTCACACGCTACGTGTAAAATTTATGTAATACATGAGCGTTGACACTTTGATTTACCGGTCAACATTTATTTACGAAATTTCGATGTCTACAAATGCCCCCACTTCAAGGCACGTCGTATACATGTGCTTGTCACGTGTAGGAGATGCGTTTTTGAAGTCCCTTACTGTAGATGTCGATCCAAGGGCCATCGAGGCTTGATCTTGAATTGGGCTGGAGATTTCTTCAAGGGCCGTTGAGGCTTGTTCTTGAACTTTTGTTTGAAATTTCTTCAAGGGCCGTCGAGGCTTGATCTTGAAGGTTGAAATTGGGCCACAAGGAGCTTCATGTGGTAGATGATCTTTGGCTTTGGTAATGGATGAATCGGTACGTATTTTGTTGCGCTTGTTGACTTTCCACAGCTTTGATCTTGAACTGGGTTGGAGGATTTTCTGGATTCCTCCAATTGTTGATTTTCCACAGCTTATTCTTGAACTAGGTTTTGATTCAAGGGTGGTAGACACTTAATCTTGAATCGGACTTGTGATTTCCTCAAGGGCCGTCGAGGCTTGATCTTGAATTTGGTTGGAAACTTCTTCAAGGGCCGTTAGGGCTTGATCCTTGAAGGTTGACTTGAACACATGACAAGCAGGCACTAGGTGAAGGTGACGACTTGTTGCTCTGTTCAATCTTTCTAATTCACACCTGAGCAGTTTGGTCAACGGTATGATCTTCAAGATTGATGGGCTTTTCTTCCAGTTGGTGACTTGATCTTTAAGGATTTGATTCAAGGGTGGTGAATCGGCACGTGCAGCCCACAACGCCTAGTAAGTCGACCCAAGAATTTGAGGGTCAAAACGAATTCACCGTCAGAGTGATTGCAACTTTGATGATATGAGATACTCTTGCTTTTGAAGAAGTAGAGGATGAATCGGCACGTGCTTGGTTGCACTTGTCTCCACATGCTTCAAGGTATCATCTTCATTTCCTTTATCTGTTCCTCAGGCAGATGTGGCATCTTCTCGAGTTCTTCATCTCAGACTCTTTCCGCCGAGTTGACTGAGCATGCTGCATTCTTCTCTGCTTGTTTCTTCAGGCAGATATGGCAGCTTCTCGAGTTCTTCAGTTCGGACTCCTTCTGCTGAGTTGACCGTGCAGACCGCATTCTTCTCTGCTTGTTCCTTCTGCACCTTGTCTCCACATGCTGCAAGGTATCATTTTCACTTGCCTTATCTGTTCTTCAGGCAGATGTGGCAGCTTCTTTGAAAGTACAGCAGCAGTGCGAAACGAGTACTCGAGAGCAGTGCTAGGTAGGCAATCAGGGAAGGGTTCCAAGCAGTCGGTTCCTTATCCGAGTTTGAGTGGAAGTTCCGACATATTGTTTTCTTTATCCTTGTCTTTGTAGGTAAGAACAAGGACAAATGAAAGGACAGGGAGAACGCATGATATGAGATACTCTTGCTTTCTACCCTGGTGATATGAGATATTTTTGCTTTGGAGTCATTGGCTTGCCGAGGTACCCCAAGGAATAAGGAACACTGAGTGACTCGAGAGGCTTCGTTGGGAAGACATTCTCAGAGATGAAGAAAGGCTCTGTATGTCTGCCTTGCTATGGAAGGTGAAGGTGGACAGTTATAGGAAGTTCTTTTAATACCTGTAGAGGTACTATTCTCTTTACTCGTGTCGGCAAACCGTTGGATGATTGAACAGTAAACTTCACGTGCTTTCTCCTTCACCCAAAAAATCTTTCGACAAATTGTCCGTGATTTGCGCAAAGTTGAGTGTGCATATGACAGGTGATGACACGGCTGAAAAAAGACTGGCGCCTCTTCGATATCTGGGATCGGCGCTTCGACAAATTGCCCGTGATTTTCGCAAAGCTGAGTTTGCGTGTGACGGGTGCCGACGCTTCTGGAAAAGCAAGATGCTTCTCCGATTTCTGAGCTTGCCTCTTCGATTTTTGAATGGCCTCTTCGAATTCTGAGCTCGCCTCTTCGATCTCTGAAATCCCGTCGAGTGCTGATTTTTTATAGAGGCATGCTGTTCGTTTCAAAGCACACTTGAATTTTTCTTGTGAAAACTCCCTTCTTGCACTTCTAAGATCTTGATTCGTCCGACCTCTTCTTTCTTCAACACTTTGAAAATGTCAGGACCCTCCGATCGTCGTTTTGACTTGAATCTTGGTGAAGAGGCAGTCCCGCCTTCTCCAGACAACATATGGCGCCCATCATTCATATCCCCTACTGGTCCTCTTACCGTTGGGGATTCGGTGATGAAGAATGATATGACCGCTGCGGTGGTGGCCCGAAACCTTGTAACTCCCAGAGATAACAGACTACTTTCCAAACGGTCTGATGAGTTGGCTGTTAAGGATTCTCTGGCTCTCAGTGTGCAGTGTGCAGGTTCTGTGTCTAATATGGCCCAACGTCTATTTGCTCGAACCCGTCAAGTTGAATCATTGGCGGCTGAAGTGATGAATCTCAAACAGGAGATTAGAGGGCTCAAGCAAGAGAATAAACAGCTGCATAAGCTCGCACATAGCTACGCGACAAACATGAAGAGGAAGATTGACCAGATGCAGGAATCTGATGGTCAGATTTTACTTGATCATCAGAGGTTTGTGGGTTTGTTCCAGCAGCATTTGCCTTCATCTTCTGGGGTTGTACCGCGTAATGAAGCTCAGAATGATCAACCTTTGGCTCCTCTTCTTCCTGGAGTTCCGCCGAGTGGTGAGGCTTCAAACAATCAACCTCCAGCGCCTCTCATTTCTGGAGCTCTGCCGAGTGGTGAGGCGGCACCTGATCGTCCTTGAAGATCCCCTCTTGTAAATTTGATTTGATTTGATTTGTTTTTTTTTTTTTTTTTTTTTTTTTTTTGTAAGGTATGTATAATGCAAATTTATGCAAAATTTCCAGAAAAATAAATAAAATGGACCTTCAATTTCTCTCTATGCATTTTTTTTTTTTTTTTTGTTTTGTTTCGTTTTTTTTTTTTTATTATTT